ATTTTATTAAAAAAAATACAAAACTCCCACAAAACTTTTTAGAGAAACAAACAAAAAAGAAAAGAAAAACAAAACAAAACAATCAAGACATTTAAAGAGAAAAAAGTACATTAAAAAACCACAAACACATATACACATATTATCTCCCCTAGTTGTATAGTGATAAATATATTGCAACAATGTTACCTCACCCCTTGCGAAACAGGCCCAATTTTTTAAAAAAACCTGTTTGCAAATCATTAATCTGTCATCTGTCTACTATATTAATGACAAAATAGTTAACATGTGAAGCAACAAAAGAAAAAGGTACGATGGTTAAAATAAAACCCAGGCTTGCTTACAAGAACAATCTGTCAAAAGGAAAAGATGGATAGATGACTGATGACTTTCTGGCCACGCCCACAGGGAACTGCAATCTTCAACACTCTCCTCCCGGTGGGGGGCTGTTCCAAAGTCATTTTGGGTCATTCCTAAGTGCTCCTATATAGGCCGGCAGCCACATTTACATCTAAGTAGAATGGAAGGGGAGCCAGGACAAAGTAAGATTGACCTAAGGCAGGGGTGTCAAACTGCCAGCCCACGGGCCGGATGCATCACGCGGAAGCCGCGCCCACCCCATTGCCGGCAATGGCAAAACAGTCCCAATATGTTGCGCGATGTCACGTGACATCACGAGTTTGACATGTCTGACCTAAGGTAAAAAATTGTGTTAATTTAATTTACATTCAGATTTGATCCAAATTAAAGTAAAAATGCATTCAATCATTTACTTCCTTGTGTCAAACTAAGGCAAACTAGAAAGCTATAGTTGAGAGGCCTTTGCTTAGAACAGCGTTTTTCAACTTTGGCCACTTTAAGATATCTGGACGTCAACTCCCAGATTTCCCTGCTTGGCTGGTGAATTCTGGGGGTTGAAATCCAGACATCTTAAAGTTGTCAAGACTGAGAAACATCGGCTCATAATGTTACAAAACTCCAGCCTTTGTATCCATTCTGAATATGTGACTTTTAATACAAAAATGAAATTGAAATAGACCAGGAAATGTGATGTCCATTTCTCTGTGAATTATAAATGCTAGGTTTCTCTGATGTTGCAGGAGTGAAAGACAAAATTGCTATTAGGACTGTAGAGGTTCTGTTTAGTGGCTTTGTTTTCATCTTTAGATCTAAGCTGATAATAAGAGTGACAAGGCCTTTTTGAAGGCCAGAGTGCCTGTCAGTTCTTTTAGTTCAAAGCAACATTTAGTTATGATCAATTGCATTCTTTAAAATTGCAGCCAGGTGTTTCCTGTTATATGGCACAGCTAATAATAGAATTTGAGGGCCATCATCTACAGGACATCTAAAGAGAAAATGCTACCAATGAATACCTTGTGGTGTCCTACTTACTTTTAAATACAGTATATGTTGCTCTGGTGCCCACATTTTTAAACTATTCATCAAAGGGTTGGGTGGTGGTTTCTTTCTTTCTTTTTTTCTTTCTTTTTTGCCAACCTGACACACAACCCAATCTATCTTGTGTGGCCCTTGTTTCATTGCTGGTTTTCTTTGTAATTTCTTCCTGCCTGCTCTTTTTAAAAACCTGAGCGTGATGTCTGTCAAATAACTCCTTTGTTACATGAGCAGAATGGGAAAAGAAAGAGAGATGATGTCCACAACTTATGATGCAATATTGTGAGATCAGTTTAGGGAAACAGAGGTCCCCCAGTTGTGGTGAACTATAGCTGCCAGCAATTCTATGTATCTCTACTTCTAGTACTGCTATGGTCTAAAATCTTTTTGGCCTCTATATCCCATTTGTTACTTTAATTAAAGCTACCATGTCTGGACTGCCAAAATCTAGATAACAGTCACAAGATGGTGAAAAAGCAAAAACCTTATCTCTTTCTAATGGTTATTTGGATTTCTGCAGCCAAAGTATAATAGCCCCAATGGATCAGGAAGAGAGAAATAAATTATCATTAGGTATAAAATCAAATTAAATAGAAAATAGGCAAGCAGATAGATAATCCAGGATATTATATACAGCACACATTGGCATACATTTCGTCTGTTTCTCTTTGCTGCTATCTAGAGGTTGTCTGGATTTTGACAGTCCAAATCTACTATCATCTTCTTCTTCTTCTTCTTCTTCTTCTTCTTCTTCTTCTTCTTCTTCTTCTTCTTCTTCTTCTTCTTCTTCTTCTTCTTCTTCTTCTTCTTCTTCTTCTTCTTCTTCTTCTTCTTCTTCTTCTTCTTCTTCTTCTTCTTCTTCTCCTCCTTCTCCTTCTCCTTCTTCTCCTTCTCCTCCTCCTCCTCCTCCTCCTTTTTCTTCTTCTTCCTCTCCTTCTCTTCCACTACTACTACTACTACTACTACTACTACTACTACTACTGCTGCTGCTGCTGCTACTGCTACTGCTACTGCTACTGCTACTGCTACTACTACTACCAAAAATTGGGTAAGATAGGAACTACTAGTGCACAAGCAAGATACATATGGGATTTTCTTCTTAACTGAATTGAAGTAATTATTTTAATTATTATCACGTGTTATACTTTCCTTAAATTTGGTCAAACAAGGAGCTTAATTTCAGCAGGAAATTCTTGAATTTGTAATGGCACTCCCTCAGATCCAATTTTCATTTCTCTGGTTTCCTAATACTATGACAGTTGCTCTGTGTTACTGGAGTGAATAAATATAGGCGGGCAGACTATACCAGCCTGTGAAACCAGGTGTTCTCTTCATAGCTATTATAAACGTCAAGACAGATTTAGGAATCAAATGATCTTTTCCTTAGATATGTGTAGTGGAATGTATGGGTGACCTTGGGAATCAGGGGAAGAAATGCTGTCTAGGAAACAGACAAGGGAAGCAGGAGCCTCCCATCCCTTAACAGTCAGAGAAAGAAACCAAAAAGGACCCACCCTAATGGAGTAAGTAGTTAAAGATGGTGATAGGAAATTTGTACTTTCAGACTTGCAAGATTCTGTTAAAATAGCCTTACAGCAAGTAGAATTCAATTCATCTTATTGTGTGTCCTGTCTGGTTTACCTTGGAGAGCTGACAGTCTTGTACATGTCCAGTGGAATTGGATACTGTGTTTAAATAAATAAATGTAGAAAAACTGCTTCTAAAATGAGTGAGAATAAGTCAAATGAGCTTACAAGCTGAAAAGTACATATTTTACCATGTGCACCCTTAACAAAAAAGGAAAATATTTTACTTTGTTGATCACGGATTTCTTAGACATGATGGTTCTGAACTGGATTCATAGCGGGTTAGTTAGGAAAAGGGTCAACGTCATCTCTGTTCTAATCAACTGATCTATTGTGGAGCATACAAATAGTTATACACTGGCCAACCTGCACACATGCAAGTGAATTAAATATTGAATGGTGATCTAATGATCAGACAGACCTATGTGGGAGCAATTTGGGGGAATAATTCCCTTAAGAGGGAAAACATGTTAACAGATTCTGATCTTTCTGCAATAATTCAGGACTCTCTTCTCCATCCTCTTAGCCACAATACTTTATTACCTTTCTAATATTAAAATGAATTCTTCAACCAAGAAAAGATGAAGACACAGATTACATATGAAGCAGATCCACTATGTGGAGTTTCTCTGTAAGAAATCATAGCAATAATAAATATAATTATTCCAAACATGGGCCCAATTTGACAGTATAAGAAAAATTTATCAAGAGGAGTGGAGCTGTTGGAGGTGACAGCTCAAAAGAAAGCAACATTAATGAGGACAACTATCACAGAACTCTTGGAAAATAGATTCCATAATTCTCATGTGTCATATCCGCAGATCAGAATGATCATTCACTTATTATTTGAATGTAGATAATAAAGCAGAGCTAGAGAGATCATAGTACATTAATTCTATACTGTTGTTCATTGATTTA